TATATATATTAAAACAAGAAGAATAATCATACTTGCAAAAACTTAAAACATATTTAAGTCACTTTTTTTTTATCGATTCTAGACATAATTACATTTAATTTTTAAAATTATTGTCAACTATAATTTTATATTAAAGTGTGTATTTTTTTAAAATAAACATAAAATTTATTTTTAACACTAAACATAATATAAGCTTAGCCATTTTGATGAAAAAATTTATGAATTCATTTTTTAAATTTAGTTTTTTCTGAACTCTTTGTAACACTTAATTTATAGAGAAAGAACTTTTCATTTGGAATGATAATTTAGAACTTGATTACTTAAATTTAATGAAATCATGGTAATTTTTTCGTGATTGTGTAAACCTGGATTTTTTTACGAGTATGGAACTTGTTGTAATTATTTCATATATGCACATGTATAAAAACTTCAATATAAAATAGTGTTTACATGTACCTAATACACAATTTATAAATATGTTTTTTACGTGATAGGATGTCAAACATAAAACATCTAGTAGAGGAAGTACAATAACTAATATAAAAAAAGTTGCTACTTACCGTAGTTGTTAAACAAGTATACATGTATAAGAAGGTATTGGAACCAAAAACGTGAAGTGTACACATTATAAAATAGTAGTTGTTAAATTTTGGGGCTAACTATCTCACCTTTTGAGGTGTCTCCAATTAGCGAGGAGATTAGTCACTACTGTCGACGGTAGATACTCCAGAAACGAACAAAAAAAAACATATTAAAATATTGACAAAAACATTATTAAATACCTTTATCTAAATCATATTTTGTTAAATGAAGCGTCTATGATTCACACACATATATATAAGCATTTTGTCACGATTTTATAGTAAATTTGGAGGGTGTAATGAATTTATTTCAGAGCAAACAATCAAGTCTCCTCAAATGAATCAATGATGTATGGGCACTTAGCAAACATCATGAGCAACTCTACTTTATAACCCTAGAGGTATTGACATTAGTCTTCGTTGGTCATCCACCAACGACACATTCAAATTGAATCTAGATGCAACTATTTTTCCTAATAATCAACTATTTGGTTTTGGTATGTGTATAAGAGATTATAATGGACAATTCATTTTAGCTAAAACAAACATCTCTTATGGACTTCTCACTCCAATTGATAACTGTTTATCTATTTCTTTAAATATCTCAATGCTTGAACAAATTATTAGTATATTTAAAGTAAAGCTAAATCACTATCAAAACTTAATTATACATTTTATTTGGAGACAAATTAATCAAGTTCCAAAGGCTCTTGTAAGAATGTCAAGATTGTACTCTAGTCCCCATGTCTTTGAGTTTGTTTCTACCTGTATTGACAATCTTGTTTTAAATGAAATGATATACTTTACATTTTATTCAAAAAAGAGTGTCCAAGGATCTTATTTCATTAATTATATAACCAAAGCATCCAAATCATAGTTTTAAAAACCGGACCGGTCATCGAACCGGTTAAAGTACTGGGTCAGTGGATCAAAAGTTGAACTAGTGAGTCACTAGTTGAACCGCATGACTCGATTTTTATTTATTTTTATTAAAAAATATTCATATTAAATATATTTTATACTTATAAATTTTAATAAATTCATATCTTATTTTAAATTTCAATTTTTCTATCTTATTTAAAATTATTTTTATTTTTATTTTGTAAAAAAATACATAAAAAAATTACATGTTAAACGGTATATTAATACAAATTAAAAATATAAATAATATGTACATATATAATATGCTTGCAATTAATATCACAAAATAATATATGTAATATTTACATAGATATTGCATTATTAAATATATAATTTAAAATTAATAATATACTATAAAAGTTATTTAAGTTGTATATATTGCAAACAAATATATTAGAACAAGTAGTGATTGTTATATTTAATAAGACTCCTTGCTTTTTCATTAAAAGATTCAATTTTCATTATTATTTTTGTGATTTATGGTCCCTTAAAAAAATTTAAAAAAAAAGTGGTTGAACCGGTTTAACCCACCAGTTTCTGGTCCAACCGGTCCGACCGGCCGGGTCAGTCCAGGTTTTAAAACACTGATCCAAATCATGTAAGCATCTTTCTAGATAAAGCGAACATATTTATAATGAATATCCTTGATAATGTTTTTATCTAAGAAAAACAAATACATAGTATCAATCAAATGTTATGAGATATACTTCTATGTTCGCATGAAATATCTTTAGAATGCCTATACATTTATAGATAATAACATATTTACTAACCTCAAAGCCCGAGGATCAGGACTTTCTATTACAATTGAGAAAAGTAAGGCAAAAATCAATGCAAGCATAAACATATTTTTTTTGCTGAGTCAAAAGAGAGAATACCTTAAAGGAATAAGTCTAACACTCACATAGTTATGTCAAATTCTTTCTCAACAAAAGTTATGTGAAGATTTCTCCATGCATTTAATGCAAATTAAATAAAAACAAAACTTTCTCTCTCAATTAAATAATGAAAGACTTGTACAAGATACAAGATTTTTGACAATCATTTGTTTTACTATATATTATTTGTTAAAAGTTCTTCGTTAGATGGGGGTGAGATTTTATTTTCCTTTGCTGCAACGTTGGTTTCTATTCGGTACTTCATGTGGAGCTTTGAGCTATATATATTAGTGTCTCAATAGCTTGGCACCGTGGTTTTAAGTCCTTTCACGTTAAGTTAGATTCTCAAACTACTCTTAGATTACTACAGAATAGGTGTGCATCTTTTCACCCTTGTGATGGATTTATTCGCAATATTCAATTATTTTTGGAAGGAGGTGCTACCTTAGTTTGGTCTCATGTACATCGGGAGGGAAATCATGTGGCAGATGCATTAGTTGGTCATGGGATGTCTCTTACTGAGAACTTGCATGTTTATGAGTTTATTTTGCCTTGTATTTCTTCACTTGTGAGAATTGATGTTTGTTCAATTTTTTTCCCACGTGGATTTTAATATATTTTTGTTGGGGCCTTGCCCCTATCTTTAACAAAAAGAAAAAAAAGGAAAAAAAAGAAAAAAAGACAACCTCAACATACTTGTAAAATCTTATTTTGTGCTTAAGTTCACTTTTGTGAGTGTTTCTTTTTACATCCTCTTTATGAGTAATCTATGTTAAGAGATTACATAAAGTTAAGCATGAAGAGGATATAAAGAATACTTAATATATGTAAATCTTTGGTATAAGATTACATTGTTGCAATATAAAAAGATAGCAAATACTTGTCTGTAGGTTGTTATTATACTGGAAAATTTTCATATTGAATTGAAATAGATTTTGTTGAAGAATGAACTAGTATAACTCTTGGTATTCAATTTTTTTCTTCAATATCCTTCTTATCTTACGTGTTGCTTTACAAAAACATTTGTTTTGAACGTTATACTAAAAGATTTTTACCTAAAAATTTTCAAGTTATCATACACAATAGATTACATAAAGGAGTTGAATAATTATTAATCTTTGAAAGGTTTTCACATAAAAATTTTCAAGTTATCATACACGATCGATAAATTACAGAAAGGGGTTGAATAATTATTATTAATCTTTGAAAACAAACGATTCATACATGTTTTTAAACAAAACTAAATAGTTCGAAGGTTTACAAAATTAATAAATAAGTACCTGTTTTACAAAGTGCATTCATTCCAAACAAAAGAACAAGTTCTAACCTAACAAACTAATACATAAATTAAGGACACACAGACTAGCAATACAACTAATCTACCTGTACACTAGTAAGTGTGTGTTTGTATAATCGGTGGCGTGCATTCCAAAGCAACCAAATGAAAAAGCATGAGTCTTGATGCTTTAAAATAAACCCACGTTTGACTGTCCCAAACGGAAAAACAAACACACCCGGAAAGGACTAATACTCCCATCACTAAGGAAAGTCACTTGAACCCATGTTGTAAAGGTATTCACCTAATAAAAAAATGTTAGGTCACTATCATTAGAGGAATCACTAGAAAAGTCCTCGTCACTCTTATCATTCTCCATTTTTTTCTCCCGATTTAGGCTGCAAACTCAGTTATGTTTCTAGGGACTCTCGAGGACCTAGTAGTCCAAAAGAAGGTAGGTATACTAGGAATTGACTAAATTACATTTTTTTAATATTATTAAAATATTTAATTCATAATTTTAGTTTTTAATTTTTAATTAAATAATTTTAATCTTTTAATTTTTTTTAAGGGATTTAATCTTTTAATTTTATAATTTATAATTTATAATTTTTGTTTTCTTATTATATTTTTAATTTTTAATTATTAAAATTCTAACATTAATGATAAGTTAACTTTTAGATAAATGATATGAGAATTAATAATTAAAATTTTTTAGATTAAATTATATTTTTAATTTCTATTTCTATTGTATTTTCATCCTATTTAACATTGTTATGAGATAAAAATGAAATTAAAAGTAAAATTAATATAAGTATTAATTTTCATATTATTTATTTAATTTTAAATTATAATTAATATTACAATTTTATCTATCAACAAATGAAAGTTTAAGAAATAAATTAAAATCGTAGATTTTATAAAATTAAAATTACAAAATAAAAAATTAAGGATCAAAATTGTAAATTATATATTATAGAAAAAAATAAAAGTATAATTTACTCTAATTTTTATTTATTATTTTATATTTTAAAATAAAATTTAAATAATTTATTAAAATAACATTTTTTAACTATAGTGCATTACTTTTTCGCTAGTACACTGTGAACCACGGTAGCCAACTCGAAGTTTCTTTGTTCTTTCGACGAAAACAAACACTTTTTTGAAACCTTCAATTTTAAGCAACCTAGTGTTAATCAAATGCAAGCTTCCCAAAGACTTCGGTCACTTTCATTACCTTGTTCATGGGAAAGTTAAGAGTAGCTCACAGTTTCAATTCTTTTTCTTCTCACAAAACAACAAACATGAGAGTGTCCTAACAATGATGGTTAACAAAGGAAACTTCTCCCTTATTTCCTTCTTCCCACCATTCCAATTTCAAATCCACCACCATTAATAACTCGCTAGGAATCACATGCCATTTCCAACACAACAAGGCAAAAGAGAAATCACCACACACTGTAGTACTAAAGCTCCTTATTTGTTCCCTTGTTTTTCTGTTACTTTGCATGGCTTCCAACCAAGAACTCCACCTCCCTTTTAGGCTTTTGGTGGACAAAGAAAGAAACCGTGTGGTTGTGGCTGAAGCAGGTGGAGACTTGGTAGACATTTTGTTCAGTTTTCTCACCCTTCCACTAGGAACCATCATAAGGCTTGTGTCAAAGAAGCAAGTGCAAGATGAAGCAGAAGAGATTGGTTGCATCAACAATCTGTACCATAGTGTGGAAAATTCTAGTGCTGAGGTTTTCTGGAACCATATTTGCAAGAGAATGTTGCTTTGTCCACGCAACCCTTGTGAAGCACTTTGTCAGAAACTGAAGGTGAGGGTGGATGATTCAGAGCCTATGAAGTACTTCATGTGTAGCAACAAGTGTCGAAGGGGTGGTGATTGGTTCTTGAGTACTTTCGCTGAGGCTAGTTGCTCTTGTGGGAAATTGATGGACAAAGAAATGAAGTTGCATGGAGATTATAATGAAGGGACTTGTAGGGATGGTGTTTTTGTTAAGGGGAAAACCATGTACTTGATCTTTGATGATTTAAGGGTGCTACAAAGCTCTCCTGGTAACTCTGTTCAGCAACTTCTCCAACTTGGCTACAAAAACTTTCACAAGCTCACAGAAAAGTACCTAAATGTTGGCTTAAAGGAGGTAACATTGGTTTTAATTTATTGAGCATGGCAGTTGTAGACTATCACATAAAAGTTTGTTCATAAATTTGCAATTTTGTATGGGCAAGTTGATTAGAATTTAGAACAGGCTTCAATGTAGAATATTGAAATTAGCATTTTATGAGGGAAAGTTCGTGTTTTACTGAAAATCATTTTTAGTACTTGCATTTCTCTCATTTATGTTTTCACGTTGAAGCTGGTAATTAAACTTGTGCATGGGAAAGATCTGCAAAAACAAATGTTAAATAGTATGAAAAGCTGAGAGGTACCTATTCTATCAATGATTAAATTTTAGAGAAAGTAGAATGAAAACCTCAGTGGTTGGTTTGTCAATCAAAAATTGTTCGTCTGCACTCTATCCTCCAACGTATATCACAAACTTTAGAAGAGTCCAAGTCCATGAAAATTTGTTATTTGAAGAATATTGCGCTTATACCTATCCTTGTTTTTTCTTTTAGATTTTGGACATACTAAAGCAGGCATTAATTTCCAAATCTCCTTTGAGCGACGTATTCTTAGGAAATGGAGCATCTAAGCGAGTGTGCACTTTCTCACCAAAACTCAGACCAGAGAATCAAGGCTGCTTAAATTACAATTCCATTATAAACCTTAAGGTAACAGTGAGAAAATCAAAGAAAACGATACTGTATGCTGAAGCTGAGGGAGATTTTGTTGATTTTCTATTCAGCTTTCTCACAACACCTCTTGGATCTATTCTAAAGCTATTGGATGGAAACTTTTCTCTTGGATGTATGAATAACTTGTACAAAAGTGTGAAGGATCTCAATTTATCATGGTTGAAAAATCCTTCAGGCACTCCTTTATTGAACCTCCAGGTGGCTCCTCAATTCGGTTGTAAGAGGCAGCCAACACAACTTTATGAGGAACACACACCTTGTTACTGGTATGGCACTGGAGTGTTAAAAAATAATATATGTTATGTCATTGGGAATGGAGTGATTTCTAAGGAACATAGTCTGATACAACATCCAGTAGCCATGAAACTTTTTGAGCCAAGATCTCCTGATGGCACAAGAGAGTCCTCTGTGGGCTTTGTAAGGAGGCCATCACTATTTGTTGTGTGGGATGATCTTCAAGTGACACCATTGGCAAATACTTCCAGCATTTCATTTCTGCAAAAGCTTAATGTTTCATTGGATGATTTGGAGGAGCATGAGCTGAGAATTGGGGAGACAGAGGTAACGCTCCATTCTTTGCTAATTTTATCTTGTGTTGTAAATCTTCTTGGCACTTGAGAATTTAATGTTTGATAATGAATTTAATTAAAATTAATTTCGGTCCAATTATTGACTCTGAAATATTAGTAACAATGGTTTTTATTGTGTAAACATGATTAGGCACTAAACCTGCTGGGAGCTTCTTTGACTTGCAAAGCTGCTTTGACAGAAGGCCTGTTCTATCTCCTGAAGAAGCCAAAGGAAGAAGCTAAAGTTTGATCTTTTCCCGGTGGTTGTTAAGAATCTGAATAATAGAGCAACCATGCATATATTTTTATTTCTGTAGTATATGCCACCTGTTATATTAATTATATTACTACACGAGTGCATTGAATGGTGATGCAAATTTTAGACTCCCTTCCCCTAAGCTAGAAATGATCTGTTAGTAAACTCTGAAAGTTCTACAAAATGCTGGTTTCTTAATTTCAAAAAAAATGTGCATAGGAAACAATGTTTTGTAATATATTGGTTTTTGCCCCAAAAGAAGTTTAGCTCAGTTGGTTAAACAAGATACATGAGTTGTTGAGAACTACTTGGTTTTGATTCTGATTGATAAAAAAATATAGGATTTTAACATTGAAATGAGTCAAATGACTTGCATAAAAGAGCAATAACTACTGGGGGAAAAATACCTTAAACAATTACGAAATGCTAAGTGGCTGTGTTGGAGTGTTTAACAAGTCCACCCAAAATTCAATGTTCATGGGTCTGGACAAATTCTGACAGGTAAGTTGGTAGTGTTTGACGAACATAACTAAGTATTCAGTATTATAATTCCATGAACATTACATAGACTACTTTTAGAAAAGAGGAAAAGATATTAGTTGGTGTGCTAAATTATTGAATTGAGAGTGAATAATTCATTCAAATCTGCGAAAATCTACATATAATTGTAAATATAGCTGTACCTATATTACATGTACAAATACTAGCAAACATATTTTATCTTGGGGATAGGTAGCGGCACCTATATCTTTTCTTTGTTAACCTAAGAAGAAATCTTAAATACATAGTGGAGTACATGAACCAGTCCAACTTAAGAGGTTGATCATTATGTACCAAAAAAGTGATCCATCATTAAAGATGGAGAATGCAAAAGGAAGACACTCTTCTTTTTTTGTTTTGGTGGCGGGGGGAGGGGGAGATCACTATTGTCCCTCAAACTCACAATTACAATCTCACCAGTGATCCTGTAAGAAATTTTTTAGAAGAATAATAAAAGGAAATATCAAAATGAATGTACAAAAACAAACTCAGCTCAGCTTTTTCTTCTCCAGAATCCAGTTGTGGACTCTGCTGACATATTTCTCATTTATTTTCACATGCAATAGGCACAGTTTTCTGTAACCCTTCAAGATATACATATCTATGTAATCTTCATATCTTTCATATATTGCTGGTACTGTGAGAACAATAAAAAGGCCTGCCACATAACCAAACCACAACAACAAATTCATTTTTATCAATTTGCCAGTTAATTTTCAAAAACTGCAGAATAATCCGTTAAGTGAATTGAGTCAATTTTCATTGCATGATGCTCAGAAACTTACTGGTGTATGCCAGGGTAAGGAAATCAGTCAAGCCACCAATAATAGAAATTAACCAGAGGTATGTAGCTACTTTAAGGAACAGCCTTGAGTCTTTACCAAGGGCAATATCTTGAGAAACTGATAACAGATCATTGACTCTGGTGCAGATAAAAGTTTTCACTTCGTTCGCCATTTCCTCTGACAGATACAACTGTGGTAGAGGTGGAGCAGGTCTGTCAAAAGAAAATAACAGTTTATATACAATTTGTTGATAAAGCATAACCATTAACTACCAAAAAATTACAGATGCAAATTACTGAACATGGTGACATGTTATTCAAGGAAAGGTATCAATCAAGATGCATTCCCACAAGTTACTGAACATGGTAACAAATTATTCAAGGAAGTTACAAATAAATGTCATAAGAATGATGAAAGCTAGTAATGTGAGGTATTTAAACTACATCATCCTATTCAAGGGCAGCTATCAATCAAGAAGCATCACTTCCCAAATCCCATAAAATCTTAAAGCATAATGAACCTAGATTTTCGAATGATTGGCTACATTACATATTTCCACCAAGCCAACTCATCCACGTCACGTGTAATTGTTAACTGAACTTAATTAGTTTAAGGAGTAGTTTTTTCTTTACAGGTATTGAGATACAAATAAGGTATCTATCCAACTTCAACACCATAATGAACTGTAAATGAATGGATTTAAAATCAGGACAAAAGATCAGGTATCACGTCTTCTGCATTACAAACAGCTGTCAAATTGACAGTGTCAATACCGTAGACAAAGCTCAATATATCAACAGTGCACTGATCAAAGATTAAAGATGCACCTTCCATCACTCAGCATTCAAAACATGCAATAAGTACACAACGGAAACAAACTTTTCCTACAAATGTATCTTATTGGATCAAAACATGCTACTGCAAATGTAGATAGATTTACTTAGTGAATCAAATTTATCACAAAATCTCCCTCAAGAGCACAAGAATGATTAATGATAATTAAAAAATGGTTTTCAACACGCACAAATAACACACTTAACAAGTGCTGATAAACTGTTACCCCTCCGATGTACAAGAAAAGTAAATTCTGAACATTAACATACAGAAGTGCTCTGCACATTTCAGTCTAAACAAAAATACATCACCATAGCGCGCAAGGCATCAAGTTTTCAAACAATTCTTCATATTTCTTAAAACTACAGCATATTTCAACCACTATATCATACCAGCATTTGTCTTTCAAACAAATAGCCTCGTACCATATAAATTAAAACTTAAAAGTAATAATAATTTCATATTAAAAAAATCAATCTGAATTTGAACTATCAATGATCTATAAATTTTTTTACATTCCAACAAATTTTCAGAGTTAAAAATAGCACACACTAGAAGATCCAAGTCATGTACATTCAAAGAAAGATAATTTGCATAAGTTTTACCTGTTGAGAATTGCTGCTGACTTGGCCCAAAGAAAAAGAATGACAATGAGGAGGAGGAGAACATTAGAAACAAGAGACAGAAGAGTATAACCAGATCTTTCAAACACAACCCAAACAGCTAGTGTGACCAACAATATCCCCACAGTTAGGTTCTTCCGCCGCCACAGTATTAAATCTGCAGCTGCATTGAAGCATGACATTGATTCAGCAAAGATTCAAGGTCAGGGCCAAGTTATCAATCCATTCTTTTCTTCTGATTCTGACCCTTTCCCCATTGCCACCAGCAACAAATCAAAAATGAAAAACAATAGACAAAGGCACAGCCCATACTGCTATTCAACTGTTAAATTAAACATTACTAAAATGAACATAAACAAACAACACCAAGGACATAAAAAGAAAAGATTATGCTACACTGATCAAAACAAATCACCAAAAAGGTTGAGAAATTTAATAAAAAAATAAAAAAAAATGAAAAAGCCTGGCATACCTTGACCACCACCAAGGATCTCATGAAGTGTTCTTTGCCGGTTGAACAATCGATCAGAGGAACCCATTTGGGGGAGAAGGCAAAGTTTGGAACTTGAACCCGGAAGGGATCTGTGTCACCAAAAAGCAGAGAGCTTTGAGATGATCCAAAGAAAAAGAGAGAAAAGCAATGAACAACAACTGTGTGGAACTTTTATAGTTTTATTCAATTTTTCACCTTGCTTATCTATTTATCTCACTTTTTTGAATTTTAGTGTAGGAGTGGACCCTGAATTATGTGTATTGTAAGGATGATGGGTGGTGAAAGCTGGGGTTAGATGTCTCAGATTACAGCCTAAAAGTGGAGTGCCATTCTTTGCTTTTCAGTCTCAAATACAAACAGTCTCCACTCCTAAGTCCTATCTAATATCTATCATGATTCATAACCAATGCCCAACACAACACAGCCCAAAAAAACAAAAAAAGAAAAGAAACAACAAAGTCTATGCCTATGGTTGATCTTATATTCAACTGTGACTTAAGCTATCATCCCTTGTTTTTACCATCTTCCTTGTTCACCGCCCACCCAATCCGTTTCAAGCCAACCTTTTGTCCTGTTGACTGTAATTGCTCTTTTGTTTTCTTACAGCTTTTCTTTTTCTCAAACACCTTTTATTTATTTATTTACTATATCTTGTTTATTTTTTAAGTTAAGTTGTAATTTTAATCCATTTATAATATAAATTTGTAATTTTAATATTTCTATTTTTAATTTTATAAATTTAATCCTTTAATTTTAGGGGGGTGTATTGGATTAGGATTTTAAAGGACTTTTTTAGTTAAAAAAAATCCTGCGGATTTTAAAAGACTTTGCAGGATTTTCATGACTTTTAAGATTTTGCAGGATTCTATAAGACTTAAAATCAGGATTTTAATGGATTCTGCAAGACTTTTAAATCAGGATTTTAATGGATTCTGTGGGATTTTGTGGATTTTGTAGAATTTTTGTGGAGTTTTGACATTTGATAAGATTTAAAAAAAAAATTCATACATTCAAATTTAAAAAGAGTCAAAGACAAAAATAATAAAAAAAA